GTGTGTGTGTGTGTGTGTGTGTGTGTGTGTGTGTGTGTGTGTGTGTGTGTGTGTGTGTGTGTGTGTATGTGCGTGTGTGCGTGTGTGCGTGCGTGCCAAGCGCGTAGCCAGGGGAGGTGGGGGTCCTGGGGGCCCTAGGACCCCCAATCAAAATAAAAATCCAAAATTTTTTTTTGTCACAGCATGGTCGGGTTAGGTATCGTTGTAGAGTTGCAGAAGAAATAGTAGGCCACCTATTGTCAACAAAACAGCGTCGTCTTAATTGATTTTAAAGCACTATTTTTACATATAACTAAAATTTCAGACCACCAGACCTTGTTACTCGCTCGAGGACCCCCCCAATCCAAATTCTTGGCTACGCCCTTGGTGCGTGCGTGCGTGCGTGTGCGTTTGCGTGTGCGTGTTCGTGTGTGTGTGTGTTGACGCCCGTGCCTAATTTAAGTGCGCATATTTCGCCGAAAACTATTCTCGTGGCTGGCAAAACGACGAGCGACGCGAGCGCTATCCGCCGTACGTGTATAATAGCAGAGAAAAATGATTAATATGCTTCTGATATATTGTAGCCGATGTTGCGGCCAAAGTGAAATCTTGAGAGCGGATATTTCTGTGCACATCTTCCCCGGACATGTATACCCCTGCCCAGTTTTTTCATAAAATACTATTCTTCTCGGGAGATATTGCGCATGCGCGAGCACCGTTTCAGGCGTGCGGAACGGACTGAAGAAAACTGCATAATATAGCTTGGTGCGGGAGGGAGGGGTGTGAGACTAAGGAAAGGCGGCAGGAAAGATAGCTGAGGGGCGGTAAAAGTAGAAGGAAGCTGAGCGAGAGACAATGGGGGCAAGCGGAAGGACGGGAGAGGGTGATGTAGGAGTTTTGCACCCCACAGACTAGGGCGCTCTCCTAATTATAAATACTGCTGAGATACCCTCTAACCATATTAAATGCATATTTATCACAAAATACAACTCTTCTGGTGAGAAATTGCGCATACGCTAATACAATAACGTAGCCAATTTGTGTACTGACTGGTATAGATGTAGCGGTGACCTTACATGCAAGGTCCTCTCCCTATTTCTTAAGAGAGGCTTAGTGATAGAATGTGATCATATAAATATATATGCTAGAATACCTTCTCTCCATTTTAAATGCATAATTTTCGCAAAACATTCTTCTTCTCTCTAGATATTGCGGATGCGCGAGCACCGTTTCAGGCGTGCTGTACGGACTGAGGAAAAAATGCATAATATAGCTTGCTTGTTAAGAGATCACTGAGGAAAGGCGGCAGGGAACATAGCTGAGGGGCGGTAGAAGAAGAAGCAGGCTGGGCGAGGGTCCGAGGGACAAAGGAATCAAGGGGAAGGCCGGGAGTGGATGAAGTACACACTTTTTTGTTTATAAGAATTCTTTTTATAAGAATCATCTAGGCGTGATTACCCAAATTGTAAGAATTTTTTAAGAATAATGCTGAGGCTCGATCATCAGACACACATTGTCACTCGATGACGACGGCGACGAGTGGATTGATAATGAGGATGACCGATTCTATGACGTTGAATTTTGCGGCCGTAGGGTGAAAGCTCATTATGAAAATGGGCGGGTTGAAGGCACTCTTGAATACTTCAACGACGACATACATAAATATCGCGTTTCCTACCCCGACGGGAGTGAGGACTATATTGGCCTCGAAGACATTGACGGCATAGAAGTCATATTACTGTAGTTTAACGAATTGCGTATACTTTGAAAAGGAGGGGTTACTTTCTTGTTGTATTATACATTAATTGGTTCTTTTATTGGATATTAGCATTTTCCTCTTTCGTTCAACCACCACGTTTTACATGCCATCGCATTTAACAGTTTTAATGAAAATATAAGTCGATTTTTTCAACAATTATTTAAGAACCATTTAAGAATTATTTAAGGCTCAAAATGTCGATTTACTAGGAATCACGAGGCTCAAAAAAAAAGTACGATTCTTATAAACAAAAAAGTGTGTAGTAGTTTTGCACCCTAAAGGCGCTCTCCTATAATTATAAACACAGGTCTACTTATCATATTGTATTACAAAAATCTATGCTGAGGCACCCCCTAGCCATATTAAATGCATATTGATTCATCACAAAATATAACTCCTCTGGTGAGATATTGCACGTGCTCACGTGCAACTGAGTCAGATTTCGACGAGCGACGCGAGCGCCATCCACCGTGTATATTAGCATAGGGAAAACATTGTAGCGCGATGCAGCCGCGGTCAAAGTGAAATCTTGATTGCGGATTTTGCTGAGGAGATGCATCAATCTCGGTCGTAACCCAACCCAGTTCAAGTGCGTAAGTTATAGTGTTCCAAGTGCCTGCACAACAACACACCAAGACTGAATGCGCACAAGTATGATCTAACTATAACTTATAAGCACAAGTAAGATGTTCGTTTGTAACTGTAAGTAATAGTTAGGCAACTTAGTGTAATCCATATATTGCAATAAACTAACCCAACACAACCTGTCAACCCTATACTAATACTTGTGCTAAGTCACGTTATCCATAGTATTTATACTAACAAGTATTAGTAACACTTAGAGTTTTCGCACTTTTACGAACACGCACAGACACACACATAGATACACGCATAGATACATGCATAGATTAAGAACGTTCAACTCGGATACTTGATACAAGACAACACCTATTCCGTAACCACTACACTATAGGGCCGGTGTGGACTGTTACATGTAGCTCCAAGAAATGATCCTTTATTTAGTATACTGGGCATGTAGTTGGAAATATTGATGTAGAATAGGTGTGCGTACGGCAGCACATTGCGATGTGCTTTCTAGTTCAAGATTGAGCAAGGCAGAGGGGGAATGGGAGAGAGCTAGGGGGAGAAGAGAGGAAGAAGAGGAGAGAGAGAGAGAGAGGCGGGGGAGAGAGAGAGAGAGAGAGCTAGGGGGAGAGAGAGACAGAGAGGAGAAAGAAAGAGAGAGGGAGAGAGAGAGAGAGAGAGAGAGAGAGAGAGAGAGGGAGGGAGGACGAGCGATGAGAGAGGAGAAAGAGAGAGAGATATAGGAGAGAGAGATAACAGGGGAGAGAGAGAGACAGAGAGGAGAGAGATAGCAGGAGAGAAGAAGAGAGAGATCAGAGAGAGAAGGAGATAGAGAAGAGAGAAGGAGCTGGCAGAGAAGAGAGAGAGAGAGAGCAGAGAGAGAAGCGGGGTGAGAGAGAGAGAGAGCAAGAGAGGAGAGAGAGAGAGAGAGAGACGAGAGAGAAGAGAGAAGAGAGAGTGAAAGAGAGAGAGAGAGAGAGAGGAGAGAGAGAGAGAGAGAGAGACGAGAAGGAGAGAGAGAGAGAGTGAAAGAGAGAGAAAGAGAGCAGAGAGAGAGAGAGAGAGAGAAGAGAAGAGAGAGCGAGAGAGAGGCGAGCAGTAGCGAGCGAGCGGAGAGAGAGAGAGAGGAGAGAGAGAATGAGAGGAGAGAGAGAGAGAGAGAGAGAGAGAGAGGAGAGAGAGGAGAGAGAGAGCCACGAGAAAGAAATAGAAAGAGAGAGAGAGAGGGAGAGAGGAGAGAGAGAGAGAGAGAGGGAGAGAAGAGAGAGAGAGAGAGCAGAGAGAGGAAGGAGAGAAGATGAGTAGAAGAGACGAGAGAGAGAGAGAGAGACGTGCGAGAGAGAAAGAGAGAGAGTGAAAGGCGAGAGAGAGAGAGAGAGAGAGAAGAGAGCAGAGAGAGAGAGAAGAGGAGAGGAGGAAGAGAGAGCACAGAGGACGAAGCAAGCACGCCTCAGAGGCGTAAGGAGGGAAACTAGGAGCAACAGAGAGAGAGAGAAGAGTACGCAGAGGAGAGGAGAGAGAGAGACGACAGAAGACGAGCTAGAGAAGAGAGAGACAGAGAAGAGCCAGAGAGAGCGAGAGAGAGGAGGGAGAGAGAGAGACGGCAAGGAGAGAAGAGAGAGAGAGAGAGAGAGCAGAGAACAGCGAGATGCCGCCGCTGGGAGAGAGAGCAGAGAGAGAGAAGAGCGAGAAGAAGAGAGAGAGACGAGACGATGAGAGAGAAAGGGAGAGAGAGAGAGACAGAGAGAGAGAGAGAGGAGAGAGAGAAGAGAGAACGAGAGAGAGAGGACAGAGACCGAGCGAGAAGTGAGGCGAGACAGAGACAGAGACAGAGACAGAGACGAGGAGACAGAAGAGAGATGAAGAGAGAGAGAGAGAGAAAGAGAGAGAGAGAATGTGGGCGCAAGCGAGTGAGAAAAAAAATGAAATTCCAACCGTGAGAAAAACTTTTAACAAAGTGGGATACCGGTAGGTTAAATATAGTTAAAAAAGTACGTTATATATATAACTATAAATGATTAGTTTATAACTACCTGCTATTGATATTTGTATAATGAAAACGAGTTATATTGTTCATAGTGCTACAAGCAATGATTTCCAGCAAGTTTGACAATTTAATGAAACCTGGTTTTGAAATTTACATCTCAGCTCAGAAAACCAAATGAGAACATGCTTGTACTTAAATGCCTGTGCTTATTTTGTTGTCATTGCACATACTGCCTTTGGATATTATATAGAAATATGTATAATTTAACTAATAATTAATAAAAATGGCAATCTTACAAGATTTTATCATTTTAATGATTTAAAAAAACATACAACTAATTGGCAAGGAACTTGGCAAATTAAGCATCTAAAGAGCAACTTAATTGCGTAATCACCACAGAAGACATCATAAGTAATACCAGGAACATCTTAATATAGATTATGTCACAGATTTTTTATAGACAATTTATGTTATGTCCCTCCTGATAATATAATACCACCCAGTGCGATATAAACAACCGTGCGATATAAACAAGCGTTTAACATGTGAAAATAATTATGTAATGTGTTAGATAGTTAACGTAGGACCTGTTTTAAGTGAAGTTAATGCATTGGTAACAGCTACATTAATGTGCTTTAATGGAATAGGTTTTGCAATTGTCAACCAAGAAGAAATACTAATCAAATCACACAATTTACAAGTTTTTTGTTATTGATTATAACCAAATACAACCAGATAATTTCTGGCCAGATTAGATTCTTCCAGATAATGTTTGTACACTCTTCTAAATATCCAATACTCGGATGCACAATATGAAAGTACAATAAAGATGCATTTACAAAAATCAAATGAACTAGACTAACAATTAGTATAATACAAAGCAGGCCCGTAGCCAGGGGGGGTTCGGGGGGTTTGCACAACCCCCCCCCCCGAGCAAAAAAAAGTTTGCAAGAATTTCACCTCAGGTATGCACCAGATCGCTCCATTTTAGTGTAATAATTGCAAAATCTCCATCGTGCGGGAGGGGGGATACCCCCTCCCACACCCTCCCCCCGCTCGGTCGCTATGCTCCCTCGCTCGGTCGCTTCTCGCCCTCACAAATTGCCAACATCTAAAAACGAACCCCCCCCCAATATAAAGCTGGGTACGGGCCTGCACAATGTCAAACATATTCTGATGTTATTTGTTCACTGTTATCACAATAAATTTTCTTTTTATGGAAAAATAAGGGCGTTAGAGTTCATAACATTAACATAACATTTCATCACGCCACCACATTTACATGCATATAATCTTACTCTAGTGTAGATATGATTCCAAAAGACTACTCTCCTTTGTAAAAATAAGGGCATAACCACCACGTAGTGGCATATACCTTATTAATCAGTGGTAGCATTAAGAGCATATATGAAGTCTGATAGTCATAATATGCTCTTTGTACCATCTGTATCACCACAACGATACAAAAGATCATTCATGCCCTGTATGTGGCATGTAGATATGTTTGCTATGTATTTATATCAGGAGTCTATCAATAGACAACCTATTGATAGACTCCTGTTTATATGCTGAACCAATATCACGTAACACTATAATATAATTGTATGGACCGGCACATGCATACATAGCCATCTATTGGAAATTCATTTTTAAAGTAGTAAAAAATCGTATAAACTCATCGTTTATATTGTGAAAAAATCTTCCTTTATATCAAACAACTATGCACAAAATTAGTTAGAGGTGAAGAAAAATGTGAACCTCTCTCCTCTGAACTAGGAAGATAACGGACACACTGTCCTCAGTGCGATTCAGGCACGATATATCATGAGAGAGCAGCTGTTACAAACAATAGGAATTGGGACTTGGGGGTACTAATGAATAGTGAACTGATGAGTGTAATGGACACAAAGAACAGCTATAGCATTGCAATAAGATACAGATGGACACACAGATACATAGATGCAGATAGATACAGATACAGATAGATACAGATACAGATACAGATAGATACAGATACAGATATAGATTTAGATGGATGCAGGACACAGATGGTAACACACATGATTTGTCTCGTCATCTTCTTGAACTCTTCTCGTTTCTTGCCGAAAGCCTTTCAATAAGATCTGTTGTCCTTCTTCCTCAATGAAGGCGAAGGGGAGGGATATCTGTATCGTCGTGTGGGGCTCCCCATTCTGTAGGCCAGTCTTGGATCATCCAGGGGAGGATGCGGCACAACCTCCTATATATATCCATAAAGACAACGAGTGTAGCAACGCTGTCTTTTTCGTGATGTAACAATCAAGTTGAAATAGGTAAGGGGTGTATGTCTGTGGATTGCACTTATTGTTAATATCAGAGAATCTATTGGATTGACGTCTTAATTAGGCATCAAAATTTTACATCTTTCCAATTGTGCCAGACGTTCCTCATAGATAGATACACGGATAGATGGATGGATGGACAGACAAGCAGATAGATAGATAGGTCTCAGCATACAATTAATTTGTGAGTTTTATCGCTTTACATCAACCAAAACTAGGTAGCCGCTCCTGAAAGCTGTAAGCGCATTACTAAAGCTGCATCTCGTCATGCTTACGATAGCCATCGCGATAAGAACTAAAAAATATATACAATAAATATATATGATAAAAACATATAAAATAAATAAAAATATGTACGATCGCTATAGCGATAAAAACTAAAA